TGCCAAGCTCCCATTTGATCGTCACGTTTACCATACTGTAGAAGTTGTGGTTTGGGGCGTCCTTACATATGGTGTTCATTAGAGGAAGCATGACGGCGCGACCTTATATACACGAAATAGTTTAATTCCATCTTGTGTTGTTTCTGAAAACGCTTGAGAACTATATTTTCCAATAAGATAACATCCGTACTAAAGGGGTACAATGGACTACGTCAACAATTCGCAAGTCAATCTAGGACTACCACCGATTGGAGATGTGTAATGTATCCTTCAGCATTGCTAGCAGCTTTTCGCTAGCTTGGGTTCGAATATCTCAAGGATACGTAAATCAGCTCCTCAAACGACTGAAACAATGTAAACGACGATGTAGCAAATTCTTTCACTTCAAAACTTAATATGCTTCTACTTACGTCTACCCGGATATAAAACTTCAAATGAATTTACTTTTACAAGGAATTGTCTTTTATTCATTGGTGAAATAAATATTCTACATTAGGAAATGGTAAGTTTCCGTGGATTAATTTTTAATTAAATCATGTGTACAATGGATAAAGCAAAAAATTAAAAATGCATAAATTGCTTGCTATGCACTATGTAAATATACATAGATAGTAGAATATTGGTATCTGCTATCCTAAGTATAGCAAATAAGTGACAATACATCCATTCAGTAAATGACTGTGTCAGATTTGGTAGTGATCTTCTATGACTATAAAATTAAGTCTATAATAATCAAATTCAGGCGAATAACCAAATGAAACTGTATTTACCGATCCGTTCAAGCGAGTGTGGATATCAGTTTGGTTATAAGATCCGTGACGACATGAATCAGTTGCTACATGTCATAGTTATCACCGCAAAATTTTGGTATTTACTCCACTCAGGAGTAGTTTTATATTTCTGGTTATTATTTGAAATGTGACAAGTTAGAGTTTTGCCGGGCATTGGATATTTTTATTGTACTTAAGGTTCATTTTTGGGAAACTTGATACAGGCTGACTTGAGTTTTAGCATAAAGTAGAGCACCTTATTAGTTATAATGATTACTGTTGTTGGGGACAAACCTAGTTGTTATGCTTATCAAAGTATACTGTGTAGCCATATACCACAAGAATATTAAAATATGGCCATATAAACTCACTGGATGATGTCCGTCTGTATGCGGTCTTTTTTTCATCGCTTTTTCCTATCATTTCTACAAAATCAATAAATGTTTTCTTTGACATGCGGAAAAGTTTAGAGAATTGAAAGTTATCACAGCTACAAAGCCATGGTTCCATCATGAAATTTTTTTTTGAAAAAAACATTTCTCCCATTAATATTATGAAAGGTTACTTTTTTAAACTTTCCATACACCGTTGTAGGCGAAAAAATACCGATTATTAAGTGTTAATAAAAATAACCAGAAATTATATACGCGCTTTTCTAAAATAAACAAGTTGCAAGAAAACCGCGGTTAAAACCAACGCGTTCAAGCGATTCGAGTAACAGACGTCATCAACTCGTGTGCCATTTTAAACCGTATTATAACCGCGGTACATCACACAGAAATTTTGGTTATTCGCTTGGATTTGATTAAAGTTGTGTTAATTCTAGACAGTTGCAAGTGGTACGAAAATTATCACTATTTGGCTCCCAATACCACTGCATCCAACTTAATCGCTGGCTCGGTGCATAGCTCACCGAGCCAGCGACAGATCAACATTTCTCACTAAAGCAATGATAACTTCTAGTCCTGCTCATATTAAGCCTCCGGGTTCTAGCACGCTAGACTCCAGTACGCCAGCTTATGGCATCCTACAGCCTCATAGCTACTTTACCATTGTAGCGGCCCTCATATTAAGTAGTTTAAAAGCCTTTCTGACATTATGTAGGACTTCCGATAAAATGTCTCCCTGGAAGTAGCTGACAATCACTTCATGCTCAGTTGTAGTTGCTGTACATGTTGCCTAAACGCCATGAGCTTGGATCTAATGTGATGTAACCTCTGCTGTAAGTGCTATACGTACTATACACCTTAGGAAAAACCATTGTTATACATGGGAAATCATTTCTTGGCAACAGCGCATAGGCTCGTCTACTTTCATGGCTATTCGTACATATTTCCTACCGTTAACCGCAGACCTGTATCACGAATGAGAATAATAGGCAGTGTTGCCAATTTGAGTAGAGCTTCCCGAATTGTGGGGAATTTAGAGTTAAGTGTTGATTCATTCAAGCTTTTAATCAGCATGGCCTAGACGTTAGAACTTCATAAAGATAACATTGAAGCTGAATGCTGCTGGAGTATAGTGTTTCGAATATTCAAAGCGGAGCGGGACACTATACTCGTTCAATGGGTCATCAAGCCACAGTCTTTTCAACAAAAAAATTATTTTACGAAAATGCGTTATATTTTTACGATTTTGTCGTCACCAAATCTCTGTTTCTCAAAATGTACGTCTATTGTAGAATTTTCAGCAAACTAAGCAAGAAACGTGATCTAGTATTTACTCAACATTACGGATTTCTCGAAATACATTAAAAAATGTGACCTAGATACCTAACTGCCCCAAGCTCTTTAAATATAACACCTTAAACCAGGGTTACCAGGTGCTCAGTCACGTTGATTGTCATGTTGTACTGCGCAAGTCAGCAAACAATCTGGCATAATAAACGTTAGGAATCATCAGGTATTGCCAGATTCCCGAATACCGGGCACCATAGTAACCGTTATAGTTGTCCTTCAAAGTTGTCAAATCGCCCCTATGGCGCAAATTCGCCACACCAGGCAACTGTGCTATAAACAAACCCTGTTTATCACTACTATTTGATAGTCATATGGTAGTTGTAGCCCTATCTAGCGGTCCATGATTTCTCTCAATACTGTTGTATCTCTACTGGCAACAAGAATAGGGATTAAAAAATCATTTATACAACAATATACAAACATGAAAAATATGATTTGAACCATGAAACATTAATACAATTTTAATAGTTTGAACTTCTTTCATTTTTGGAATACTCTTATGTGGAATCCGCAGCTATTTTTCCCGAAATTTGGGTAGACTTAGATTTCTTAGAAATATGACATATTGGTATCGGCAACTCTGCGAATGGGAGAAACAAATCGCATTTGTTGAGCGCATCCGTCTAAGCGGTAGGCGCCAGCGCCCGTTCTGCCATCTCTTTCTTTTATCACTCTTCTACTTTACCCCGTTGTCCGTCACACTAAGACGCTGCCACATAGGATCCTACAATCGAGTGTCTTTCACGCACCTACATACTTTTGTATATTTCCATCTCTCTTCCTCATCATAATGTATAATAATGTTTTTTCCCAAGATGTATATAGGTCATTGTGTCAGTCCTCCATATGTGTACCAGACTAAAAATAGTATAACATTTGTAGGTCCTTTTTACTTTGCTGTAATTTTAGTAAATGTCTGAAACCACTCTGTAACCACATCTTTCTTCTTGTCTCAAGAGGTACATCCTCCAAATAGAGAGAATGAGTAGATGATGTTGCAAGAAATCTAAGTAAATTTAAGTTTTTAAGATCATTTGCTGATTTAGTCTGGGGATTTTTTTGAAAAAGCTTACAAGCGGCAATATCTCGAAAACTAGAAAACTTTTAATACTCTTACTACTACTTTTTATTTTATCTACCTCTTGTGTTACTCTGGCGTGTTATTTCTACGAACAAAGAGAGAAACGTTCATCCCTACCAGTAGGGCTTGTGGTTCTCTTGCCTGCCAGAGATATCCGGAGATTTGCCCCCCACTAGAGTGTTGATTATCAATCCTATTTTCCGTCATAGTCCTAATTATGTGTGAAGCTAAATTAAGAGTCGGCTCACTGGCTCTGCTATCTCATTACCATGTATCGCCATGTTCTCAGGCAGCGATATTAATGAGACTTATGCTTTACGGCAACGTCATCTAAAACCCTTACTACAGGTGATAACGATATTGAATATCGTAATGATAGAGGTCACCTAGGTGTCAGAAAATATTTTGTATAGAAAAGTTGATGGAATTTTTGTTGTTAGTTCTGACTTAATCAAAATGAACGTATTATGAAGAAGGCTTAATAAATGCACATTGCTTAATCTGTCCTTCCGCTGCCGCTTCAGTAAATGTGTTAATGTGTTCCATTAATTTCAGGAGCTGAGGCTAAATTACAAAACCAACAAAATGTATATGCCTTATTTGCTGAGCATATTTCACACTGACAATTGATTAAACGTGGACGGAAAAGTGGTTGGAATCCAGCATCTGGCATGATGAAAGTATGACATATTAATGAGATGAAATAGGGCAACGCAGTCACGTTAAAACCACATTAGCTATCACGGCTTCGCCGCAACAAGTTGATCATAGATCGGGATATGCTGCTATTCCCGATGTAGCATGTTATAATCAAAATGACCAATTGATGTGGTGACAAATTAATTCATTTTCGACTCGTTGTCAGAGTCGTTGACAAATTATCTTTACTATATAATAATAATAATAATAATAATCATAATAATAATGATAATAATAGGGGAAGGTCGGGTAAAGTGACCCAGGCAGGTAAAGTGGCCACCTTCATTTTAAAAACGAACCATTAAGCGCCATCTATTACGGGATATGGGAATAATATCATTGGTTGACGCCATATTGCTTCCGTGACCATCAACTGGATCAGTGCTTGTCTTAGGATTTTATTGTGAAAAAATATATTTTAGTGGTCTTTGATCTAAGGTGAGTGGTTTAAACATAGTAAAAATATATTGTGATCAGATTCACAGAGAAACAATGTACGATTTTATTGGTTTAGTGTATGAAATGAGCAATTCATTCCACCGCAAAGTAGGTCAATATAACCTCATTTGTTATTTGAATTATTTTTTTCTTCGCCGCATGCCAATTCGGGTAAAGTGGCCTACCAAATCGGTAAGGTAAAGTGACCCGGTAGGCCACTTTACCTTTTTAGTGTTTATTCCTGCAACCATATAATGGTTTGTGTTATTTTAGATATGCCAACTAGATATACACGGACGACGCAGCAGCAGACATGGGATTCGGAAGCGATGGAAAAAGCTATTAGAGCTGTACGAAATGGGGAAATGGGCTTTCTTAAAGCTAGCACAGTCTTCGGTGTTCCCCGATCAACGCTTAAACGGCGTGTACAAGGAAAAAACAAACATGCTGTTGAAAATGTTAAAATACTGGGGTCACGACGTCCAATTTTTAGTCCGGTACAAGAGGCACAATTAGTACAACACATTTTGGAACTTGAGAATCGTTTCTACGGATTAACATTGCGGGATGTAAGGAAATTAGCCTTTCAACTAGCTGAACGCAACAATATAAAACACAACTTCAATAAAGACACTCAAATGGCTGGAAAAGCATGGGCTTCTGATTTTAGAAAGCGTCATCCAGAACTGACACTGAGAAGCCCAGAAGCAACTTCTCTTGCCCGAGCACAAGGTTTCAACAAAGTAAGTGTCACGAAATATTTTGACCTTCTAGAAGAAGTAAGGTCTAAAACAAACTATCCACCTCATCGCATTTTCAATGTGGATGAGTCTGGTTTCACCACTGTGCAGAGCAAGAGTTCTAAGGTACTTGCGAAAAAGGGAAAGAAGCAGGTGGGTACCATCACCTCTGCAGAACGAGGTGTATTAAGCACCGTTGTAATTTGCATGGCCGCTGGCGGTAACTTCATTCCACCTTTTATTATCTTTCCCCGGAGGAGAATGAAGGTTGAACTTCAAGATGGGGCACCGCCAGGAACTGGTTTTGCGTGTCATTCGTCAGGGTGGATGCAGTTGGACATTTTTACGGCATGGTTTAAGCATTTTCTTAAATTTGCCAAGCCGACTGAAGATGATCCAGCACTGCTAATTTTGGATGGACACAATTCACATACCAAGAATTTGGATTTCATTGATATGGCACGAAGAAATCACACGACCGTCTTGTGTCTGCCTCCACACTGCAGTCATAGACTGCAACCTTTGGACGTGTCTTTTATGGGTCCTTTGAATAAGTATTACATCCGTGCAGTTGAGAAGTATCTTCGCAATAACCCAGGAAGAGCCTTGACTGTGTTCCAATTCAGCAAACTTTTTGGCGAAGCATACAGCGAGGCAGCACAACAATCCATTGCAATCAATGGATTTCGTAAATGTGGGGTAGAACCAATGGATCGCCACGTATTCAAAGATTATGATTTTGTGCCAGCAGACACAACAGATAACATTCTTCTTGAGTAGGAACTACAACAAAATGAAGCTAATAATGAGAATGAGACACCTGAAAGAGTAGAGTCTCCATCTATTCTACAAGTTACGCCACCAACATTGGATCAGGAAGAAAATATTAATGTAACGCTACCAGTTACTTCGCCAATATTGAACCCTTACATAGACCTACAACCCAGCACATCCTTCGCGGTAGCGCCTGAAGACTTATTTCCGATTCCCAAAGCATTGGCTAAAATTAGAAAAATAAATAGAAACGTACAGCAATTTTAACGAGTAGTCCTTATAAAAATGAGTTACAGGAAGAAAAAACACAGCAACAACAAAAAAAAGAACTGAAGAGAGTGACTAAAGCTATTTTTGAACCAACTAAAACTGGGAAAAAACTTAAAGCTGAAACCAACGTTAAAAAACGTGGTAAAAATACAAACAATGCTAAAATTAAGAAAAGAGACGATACTGATGATGAGGCCGATGATGACCCTGAATGCTTTTACTGTGGGGAAGTTTGGTCTAAATCAAAACATGAAGATGGCTGGATACAGTGCTCTAGCTGCAAGCGATGGGCCCATGAAGCATGCTCGGGTTGTGATGACGCCGATGATGTCTTTCATTGCGAATTCTGTTCGTGAGAATATTTTCTTTTTATTGAATGTTAATGAATAATGAAGAGTTTGTTATTTGCATTTCATAGTTTAGTAATTAAAACTTTATTTAGTTTGTCATTAAATGAAGGAAAGTTACATTTATTTAATAATTTTATAAGTATAAACAATAAAAAGACTTTGAGTTATAAACAATTACCTGAACAATTGTGATAGTGTTGTTGCTTACAATAAATATTTTTTCTATGCAAAATTTGAATAAATCTTTATTTTATTATCATTTTATTTGAAGTAGGCCACTTTACCCGATTATGAATTTGTATGGGCCAATTTACCCGACCAGGATAGGTAAAGTGGTCAACATCCCATTTCGGCTTAAATATTAAATTACGCTTAAATTATCAGAACAATCGTTTAAAAGCTATGTAATATCGAAACTATATTAGCTAGTGGGAAAATATAATGAATTTGATTTGAAAAAGGTTCACATTTATTTGTTTGGCATGCGTTCAAGGCTTAGGGTGACCACTTTACCCGACCTTCCCCTAATAATAATAAACGGCTTTATTTATAATGATACATTATAAATGGGCGAAGTTTAGCCTCGACTATTCTCCCACTTAGCCCTGGTGTGACATTTTATACTAGAAATCAATATGGATATGCATATACACACATAAATGTATATTCACCAAAACTGTTAATACAAAAATAAAAGTTCAATACTACAAACCATTACAATTACATACGCAGAAGGTGCAACTTCAAATTTAGTTTAAACTTCTTTAGAGTCATATTTTTCAGGTCGTTTGGTAGATAATTGTACCTATAAGGAGATTGCACTTAATGTGAAAGATCTTGTGAGTATAGAAGTCTTGTGATGAGGCATAGCGAATATACCTGGAAAAAGAATAATTCTGTTGGGGTGGATTATATTATGATGAGGTATGATTTTTCTGTACAACTAAATATCTTTCTTATTGAAGATTGTTTTATGCACGATTGTAAGCAATAAATATTTGAACTTGAACTTTAACACTTAGCCATTTCACAGAAACCATATGGCCCGATGTGTGATCATATCTTGTTATAAGTCAACGCCAAACAAAGTGGCGTGCACGTCATCACGATAAAAATTCCCCGACCTAATGCCTAGGTTTCTATCACAAACAATTGCTCTATTGCAGTTTCATATTAATGTGATATATAAATTGTAAAATGGTCATTACTCTCTTATTATGGTTAATAGTCATATAAACATTGTTATTAAAATATCACATAAGTTGCTTTCTGATAAATTTAGACGCATTATGCGAAATAAAATGTTTTGCAAACGCTCCAATCACTTATCGACATGTAAACGCACTAAACCGATTTCGCAGCGTTGACACATTGTCACCTTGAAACTTATTTAAACTGGGAACTGACATTTGTATTAATTTTGACACTGAATCAATTTGTGGCATTTCAAATCTTTATAAATCCTTTGGCCCCGCATACTGTAAATCAACAACTGTTTGTTTCAAAACAAAATTATTCATTTTACGAGTAGATAAAGGCAATTTTGGTATATAAAGATGCCCAAACAGTTAAATAGTCGGTGTAAGGAACTCGTGGCCTCGTTAATGCACTACTTTGAGCAAGAAAGGGACAACAACGGGCCTTTGTTGCCTTTAAATGCTGTTCAAGAGGTAGGTTACTAATAATTATATGTAAAGTATATTAATAATAGTGAAATTTTATTTCATTATTTGTAGCGTGTTGCTGCTGCTTTAAAAATTAGTTTAAGGACAGTTAGTCGTATTTCCGAGGGTGTGAAAAGTGATGCAAATTTAGAATCGCCCAAGAAAAAGCGGAGTTATATTAAACGTGTAACCAACACAGCGACATTGGATACAAGTGCCATTCGAGAAGTGATCTATAATATGTATCACAAAAGTAAGATCTTATTATAATAACTTATCAGAAATTTGCATTAATTTGTTAACTAAATTATAATGTCATATTACACATGGTTTCAGAAGAACAAGTTACGATACAAACTTTATGGTCTCGATTAAAAGATAGGGCATTATTTGATGGTAGTGCCACGTCTTTAAGGCGGTTGCTTAGAGATCTTGGATTTAAGTGGCTTAAGGACAATCCGCAACGAGGGCTCATGGAACTACCAAGTATAGCTTTGAAAAGGGTGGAATTTCTAAGGCAATACAATCAAGCCAAGGTTGAGGCCTTATACCAGTTTGTCTTCCTCGATGAAACTTGGATATTTCAAAATGGGACCATAGGTCGCTCTTGGCAAAATGGAAACCAAAAAAGCGTGAAAGCTATTAAAACAGATGGTAAAAGGTATGTACTTTTACACAATTTGCACTATAAAATTTAAAACTAATATATTTTGGATACATTATATTACATGCTGGAAATGAAAATGGGTTTATTGAGGGTAGTGAAGCGATATTTTCTTCGAAAACAAAATTGAGCGATTACCATGGAGAGATGAACCAGGACAATTTTTATGAAATGGTTTCAACATCAGTTATTAGAAAAATTGGAGAGTCCATCTATGATTATACTGGATAACGCCCCTTATCACAGCATGATATTGAACAAAGTGCCCAACAATGCATGGACAAAAAAAAATATCCAAGACTGGTTGACAAATCAAAACATACCATTTTTAAACACAATGTTTAAAACAGAGCTATTGAGTATTGTTGCTCGGTACATAATGCTTCTTAATTATATATATTTTGGTCGACAGTTTATATTTCTTTTATTTATTCCTATTCTTAAAATAACTGCTTTTTTAGAAACAAACCACCTAAACTATACGTGATTGATGAATTGGCGGAACAACATGGGCACAAAGTTCTTCGTCTGCCTCCTTACCATTGTATATTTAACCCTATTGAGTTAATTTGGGGCATAGCAAAAGGTTACTATAACAGACATATTGGTAGAGATGGTAACAGTGAGAAAGACTGTTTGGATATGTGGAACGAGGCTCTACAAACGGTTACCCCAGACATGTGGAAAAATAGTGTTCGACATACTGAGCAAGAAATTTTTAAATGGTATGAAAGAGAACGAATTTTTGTACGACCAGACATCGAACCTTTAATAATCAACTTTGAGAGTGATGAAGATTCAGATTCAGACAGCGCTGAAGAAAGAAACTCCGACTAACTTTATTGTACAGAAAAAGCTTACACCAGTAGCTTACCTAATTTTAGAATGCATTTTTCTGTATGAATTCTGTAAAATAAATACCATGCATAAAATTTGGAGGACCCCATTTGGATTTTTATTCAGTACCTTTAAGCTATCAATTAAATATGGTAGTTTCATAGTGTCATCTGATCAATAATTGTCATACTTAATGATTATGCAAGTACAGATCTATAATTTTATTATACTATTATTTTTGTTCTCATTTGAGGTTAATATTGCTTATAAACCTAGATATGTAAATAATAAATTTTATTATTTTACAAAAAGTTTGGCAACAATGTAAATTTTTCAACACACCACCCACTTTGTTTGGCGTTGACTATAGGTTGTTTATCAGACGGCAACAGTAATTTTGGATTTTCTGCAAACGTTTTGCTGAATATTGGTCTAGGCAGGCGTAATATAATGGCATACAATAAAGAATTTTGAAAATTACTAAACCTTCACATAACATTTTTTGAAGAACTTGGTCAAATGTTTTTGTTGGCAAACAGGAGCCATAATGCTAAAAAGCCGTTTTAAACTATAAGAGCGACATGATCTCGGAACCTTAATTTTTCATCAAAGAACACACTGAGGCTTTTTATACGGTCAGGGAATTTCCTTCAAAAGATTGGATTTCGTTTTTGGGCCGAATAAAATAATTTGGATTTTTTCAGTGTTCATTTTATGAGCATTGTATTGAAGTTGAAAGGGACTTGAGTTCGTAGCCATAATGTGTATAGTGCTGCTGGAATCACGACTTGAGACCAGTTTTACGTCCTTGATGAACTCTATTCTCTATTTGTCATTGTCCGTCAGAGCGGTAGTGGGACCTTCGTTAAAGTATCGTAGGTTAGTAGGTCTGATTGCCCAGATACCAGACGAAGTCAGGGAGAAAGATAGGAAGAAGAAAGGAAGGAAGGAAGGAAGGGGGAAGAGCAAAGAGGGTGAAGTGCGCCGGTTAAAGGGATGCCTTGCTATTGGTAATTGGTATTCGGTTATTTTAAAATAATCCAAAAATTAATTTAGGAATTTGTGTGTGGCAAAAATCGTAATTTTGGTTGGATCTAGAATTGATTTTGATCACAGCGTGAGCCGCGGTCTAGTGTGCTTGCGAACTTGCTCGACTGTGTAGTCTACTGACTCACGCAACAGAAAGTTTCTGTGCGATTCCGCTTGACTATAACGTAACAGCGCCTGCTGTTTGATGTAGTCCCTTAGGTAAAGCATGTCGAGGTCTCTGTGAAGGGTCTCGTTGGAGAAATACCATGGAGCGTTAGTGATGGTTCGCAAGGTTCTGTACTGCCAAACCTGCATATTACGCATATGAGTGTTCTTAATGAACTTTCTATGGACTGTGTCATCCATATCTGTCTACTCGATAAGTAGGTGGACATTCTGTCAGTTACAGCAGGACAATGGAAGATAAAATTCTTAGCACGTTCTACACAAATCTATCTTCTGTTAGTGTGCACTCAATAATCGCATACTTGTCAAAAGTCGAGCCACCATTTGTAGTATTTTTCCTACTCAATCTGCTGTGTTTAGGCTTGAAGGTACCGTCAGCATTCCGGATGTTCCCGATCTTTTGGCACTTATTTAAAAAAAGCATGACTGTTTGAAAAGTAGGTTATTGTTTACGACAATAATTCTTCACCACATGCTATAAATAAACTACAGATATGAACTTAGACATAGAATATCATAAAGAAGACTCATGCAACAAATATCTGTTTACATATCGATAATTTGACGGCAGTTATTCTGAAACGAACAATTCGTGAGTTTTCGAAAAAATGCACTCACTATTATATATAGTAGATTGTTTCTTGACATTTGAATGAAACAATCTCACATGTAAAAATGGAGTCAAGTTGACCGACACTGTACTTCCTTTGCAACGCCGCCATCACCTCATAAAGGATCGAGTTCAGGGCAGTACGAACAGACATGTACGACAGAGAAATCAAACGGATCAAGTCAGTTAAAGAGGTCCATACAATTAGTACACTCGTAATTGCTGTCCATCTGGCAACGTCGTTCCTTTCCACTTCTGCGCGGCAGCGCTACAGCGAGTTATCGTTCATTCTGTGTATATGTTTTGCGGGTGGCAGTATGGATATATCGGTCAGTCGAACAGTACGCCCGGCGGTGAGCTCTGATACCAGGAGAACGCGGATCGAAATCACTTCTCCTTCATTCTAAGTTTTAAAAGAATGTACGGGGAAATCTATGATGTGTGAAATATGGCTGATATGCGCATAGCATTAGTGGGGTTGGGGGCTTATAAATATACCTACTAACATAAAAAGACTGCGTATACCCTCCCCCAACCACTACAATCCTCAAATATCAAATTTCAACTCCTACAAAAATGTTCCTTCCTGTGCTTCTAAAACGTCGAAATACTGAGTTTATATAGTTAGTTATTTATATAGGAAGCATCGTATATAAACTTCATGCAATGGCTTCCTGAAACCCACTAATGAATATATCTTACACCAGTTTTCTTCTCATATTAACAAATTATGTTAAATGTCTCATTTCACTGTACCCATATTGAGTTGTTCATGACTTGTACGTTCCACTCCAATGCCAGAATATGCTCAGTAGGGTGTTCCAAAAAAATAAAAGATCTTTTTTTCCA